GAACACAGGACTTTGGGCTGGGGAGAGACCTCTCTTGTCCCGGAGCTGGCAGAGGTTCTTGGCAGGGGATTTCTATGGTAATTGGTTGGTATGAGCAGTCTTAGGAGGTGGCTCGAAGAAATCGTTGCTGCTGAGTGGTGCCATTAGCATGGCTGGAAAGGGAGGGTGGGGACAGGCTGGGGACAGGTGGGAAGAACCTTGTCTGTGAGAGCTGACCTATGTGTCCGCTGCCCAGTGTCTGAGCCACAACTCTGTGAGGAGAACTGGATTCTCCTCTGTCCAGCAAGCTTCTGGAACATTCTCTTCTCACTGCTCTGTGCTGGTCCCTAGGGTTATGGGGCAGGTGCACATGTCAGCAGTGCGCACATAACAGAATGGTCCAGGAAAGAGTCCAGGACCTGTAGGCTATAGTAGGCCCGAGAGACCTCCAACTGAGCCAGGGTTCAGGGGAGGCTCTCTGGAGACTACCAAGGTTAGGAGGAATGAACCAGATGGGACAGAGGGCAGGCTGGATCGGCAGGGCAGGTCCTGGTCAGGGGGCTGGTGCAAGTGTACCCTGGTTTTAGTGGAGTTTTGAGCAGAGGCTGGCTGGCAGTATGGAGGCTAGGGAGAGGAGGCCAGGCCAGGGTGGCGGGAAGCATGGCTTAAGGAGGGCCTTAGAAGCAGGCAGTGTGACAGAGATGGGCTTGCAGGGCCTGGGAGACTCCCCCCTGCAGAAAGGCAGGAGCCACCGGCTGCCATTGTCAGAGGCAAACAAGATGGCCTTGGTCACTGGCTTAGGTCACCTGGTGATTGAAACTGGGAGGGGATGAGATGGCCCCTCCCAGTGAATAGATACAGAAACACAGAGTGAATAGAAGGAATTTTCCAGCTATGGACAAGTTAAACATTTACTGGAGGCTGGGAGAAGCCCAGCGGTAGAATCACTGTGGGTCCAGGTGGGACACCACTTTCACTGCCCTCTTTTAGAATGGAGCTATCATTTTTATTCTTGGGTGAAGTGACTAGGAGGCCAGCAGTCAGGGGTCAGGGAGCTCTGGCCATGCTCCTGGATCCACCTGCTGGGCCTTGGTCCTGGCAGGGAGACGGCCCTCCTCCACCCCAGCCTAGCAGTTCACAGAGCCCCATAATTTCCAAAGCAAAGCCTGTCGCCCTCTTTTTACACATCACTAAGGCCCAGAGAAGAGCCTGGAGTGGCCCTGTCACAGAGCAAGTCACTGACCAGTGACTAGAATCCGAGATGAATCCGAGCTTCCACCTACACTGGAGTTGCCTCCTTCCCGCTGGGAGGCAGGGGCAGATGTGATAGCTGATGTCACAGTGAGACCTAATGTTGGGGGTTGCATGGATGAGCTCCGGCTTCCTGGCTGTGGCTTCTGTTTCCACCTTCTCTGAAAGACTGAGAATATGAGAATGTATATGTGGGGGCCAAGACGGTGCTTGTATTGGTAGCTGGACTTGGGTAAGAGTCTCCCAAGTGGCACTGTTTTTGAAGATATGAAGGGGTCATGGAGAGCCACTGAGGCTTGGCACTGTGTGGCAGGGCTGGAATCCCTGAAGAGAGGCCACTAGTGAAGGTACAGCTACCGTGGCAATCAAAGCCCTAGGATTGAAGGGGCCATGGAGAGAAGTTGAGGCTTGGCACCATTTAGCAGAGTTAGAGTCCCTGAGGAGAGTCCAGGAGAAGCTATTGGTGAAGATTTAGCCCAGTTCCAGGGGTAACCCCAGCATTTTGGAGATGCCAGGGCCACGGGATTACCGCCAAGGGCAACAGGAGTTGTGGAGTGGAGCTGGGCTGAGCCTGGGAGACAAGCTGTGTGTACTGTGGATAGCAGATGTGGAAAAGTGCCGCTGCCTTTGGTGCCCAGAGGATAGTGTGTGAAGCACAGACATTGGACACTGAATTATTTACACTTTTGGAGTTGGGTTTGATTTGATTTGATTGCGACTGTGCCCTGATTATTCCCTCTTGGAGTAATGATTTATGCCCTAACTTCCTTCGATGATGGACTGTGTGTGACCTGAGAATTGTGAGCTGGAATACACCCCTTCTTCCCCAAGTTGTTTTTTGTCATGGTGTTTTAGCACAGCAACAGGAGCCCCAACTAAGACACCTGCATGTAGAGGTTGGCATCTGATGAGTTAGTCTCGAACATGGTCTCCAGGAAGCTAAGTACCCATGGCCACCCTCTCCTCCTTCCAGCATGCCCTCACTCATACTCTCAGCTTGGGGGTGGCAGAGGCAGCCAGGTGGCAGAGGGGATCTGTACACATCCCCTCCCTCTGAAGAGCCAGACAGGAAGTATTTGGGGCTCTGCAGGCCATATGGCCCTGTAGCTGCCGCTTGCCCTAGAGTTCTAGTTAAAGCAAACATGGACTGTGTGTGCGGAGGGGACTGTGTGTGTGAAGGGACTGTGTATGCGGAGGGGACTGTGTGTGTGAAGGGACTGTGTGTGCGGAGGGGACTGTGTGTGTGGAGGGACTGTGTGTGTGGAGGGACTGTGTGCGGAGGGGACTGTGTGTGTGTGTGGGACTGTGTTCAATAAAGCTTTATTTATGGATGCTGGGATTTGGCTTTCATAGTACTTTTATGTGTCACAAGATATTCTTGTTTTAAGTCCATTTCCCCCAGTGATTTAAAAATGTAGAAAACATTCTTAGGTTTCAAGCTGTACAAAGAAAAAAAAGTAGGTAACAGGTCAGATTTGGCAAGGCAGTGATTACAGTTTGCCAAGCCGTGGGCTAGAATAAGGTTCCTTGGAGCCAGACTGCCTGGGTATGAATTTTAGCTTTGCTGGGTCACCTTTGTGAGGGGTTGGGTCTTCCTGAGCCTCAGATTTCTAATATGTAAAATGACTAAGACAGGGCTTTGAGAATGTGAAAGTACTTATTTCAAATAAGTACCAAATGTCAGATGTAAGAGTTACCATTTGACCCAGCAAATCTATCCCCAAAGTTTGTATCTGAGAGAAATGAAAATACAGGTCCACACAAAACCAAGCGAAAACTGGTAAGAAGCTAGAGTATCCCTCGCCCGGTGAGTGGTGAACAGGATGTAAAATATCCACAGACTCGAATATTATTTACCTATTTAAAAACTGGTAACTAGGAGTGGTGGTGCATGCCTGTAATTCCAGCCCTTGAGAGGCTGGTCAAGAGTCCAAGGCTATCCTAAGATAATTATTGAGTTCAAGGGCAACCTGGGCTACATGTGGCCTTGTCTCAGGAAAGAAGGAAACGAAGTACTGATGCATGCTGTGACACAGATAAACCTTGAAGACATTTTGTTAAAGAAAAGCAGTATTAATCATATAAAAGACCATGGATTCCAAGACAGGCAAGCTCTAGAACTGGTTCGTCTATGGCCACAGAAAGTGGCTTGGTAGCCGTCAAGCCTGAGGGGTGGGTGGGCTAGGGTGAGTGAGGGTGTCCCTGATAGTGGGCTTTAGGTAGTGGTTGGGACAGCAGAAATGCTCCGGTGTTAGGTAGTGGTGGTTAGGATCCAAGTACAACTTGAGCAAATACACTAAAAAATGCACATGCCGAACACCCCAGAGCATTTGTGCAAGGGTGAATTTTACAGACGTGAAGTATGTTTCAATAGAAAAGCAAGACACCGCTTCCTTCCCACGGATGCTGGTAGCATTACTGCAAGGGAATGCAGTTCGGGGGGGGGGGGGGCATCATCTGAGGATCTGGTGGGGGGTTTATGGCTTTGAGTCTTAGAGGCAACAGAGCAAGGCAGGCTTCTCATCTGTACGTCGGAATCGCCGTCCTGGTGACATCCACAGAGTGGGCCTGGAGCTCGAATGATGCCCGGTTCCCCCGGTCACACTTGACCAGCACCAGCCCCGGGAGGCTGAGTCCTGGGGCAGTGGGGCAGGGTCCAGACTGACAAGCAGCACTGGGTAGTAGCAGTTCATCCCTCAGGGTATCTCCTATTGTCCCTCCAGCCTCTACAGTTCCCACCATGCTGAATGCCCCTTGGGCCTGGACTGCTTGGGGAGGCTGGAGTGAACCTCTGATGCCTTTACATAGTGTGGCTACAGGCGGGCACTGGCCGTTCTCTCTCTGAGCCTTGGTTTGTCCGACAGTCAGATGGCTTTAGGACAGGGTGCCCGCCACTTCAGGTGACGGTGATGATGGAAGGGAGGCATGGATGTGTGACACTTTCCAGGGCCTGCTGCATTTCCAGCACTCTGCGCCCGTCAGTGTTTATGATCATGTATTTTGTAGAATGTTTATTTTGAAAAGTCTGGGATTGCCAGGCTCTGTTCCAGATACGGGGGAGACAGCAGAGAATTAAAAAGACAAAACTCCTCGCCTTCGTGGAACTTACAGCGGGGTGGGCAGACAAACAGAATAAGCAGATAAATGATATTTAAGAACACGGCTGAGAAAATAAATCTGGGACTATGGGAGGGAGCTTAGGGGGTGGGGGAGGGGCTCCAGGACTGCAAAAGTCTTACTAACCAGGCAGGATGGTGCATGCCTGCAACCCCAGCCCCTGGGAGGCTCGGGCAGGAGGATCAAAGTTCAGGGCCAGCCTCGTTAGGTTATACGATGAGCTGAGAGAGGAGGAGAGAGACAGGGAGGGGGAAAGGATCGAGAAATGGAGAGGGGGAGAGAGAGAGATAAACAGAAGGAGAAGAAAGAGATAGAAACCTGAGAGAGAGAGAGAGAGGGAGAGAGAGAGAGAGAGAGAGAGAGAGAGAGAGAGAGAGAGAGAGAGAGAGAGAGAGCACCATGCAGGTTTCCAAGGGAAGTGAAAACAACATCATACTAGGTAAGTGTGGCAGACACTGAAGACATCAGTGTGACTGGAGGGGAGAAGTGGGGAGGATGAGAGGCAGGGGCAGGTGCCAGGGGCCTTCAAGGATGGCTCTCCCTCCAGCACCCAGGAGGGCTTCCAGAAGAGGATAACCTCCCTGCCCTAGGTTCCGGTGACTTCTGCGGAACCAACACCTCCCCCGACTCACACTCTGTGCTTTCTCCTGCAGTACCAGCCAGGGGTCTCCATGGGCGCTTGAGGGCCGGGCGCCAGGACTGTGGGCACGAGCATGGTGAGACACCAGCCCCTGCAGTACTACGAGCCCCAACTGTGCCTCTCATGCCTCACGGGCATCTACGGCTGCCGCTGGAAGCGTTACCAACGCTCGCACGATGACACCACACCGGTGAGCTTCCCTGAGATGGAGTCAGAGGCCCTGGGGCTGAGGGAAATCGGGGTTCCGTTGTCTCTGTGTGGTTCTGGGCAGGCCCATAGCCCTTCCAGAGTTCAGGTTTCTTCCTCAGCAAAACTGGCCTGTAGTGGTTCCTGAGGCCCCTGGTCATGCGGGATGGTCGGGAAGGAACTTGTCTGCATGGGTGTAGATAGTTAGCTATTAACCGTCTTCTGTAGTGGGGCAGCCTGCTCCAGGGGCCTGGACAGGAAGGAGTGGGGGTGATCCTAAAGGGTCACCCCAAGAGGAACAGGAGTTCTCAGTTCCCACTGACCTGAAAGGCCAGGTAGGGGTGTCAGGAGGGTGAGGAGGTAGGTCTGGCCATCCTGGAGCCTGGGAGCTGATGGGGCCATGGCCTGGCACCAGAGCCCAGTCACCTGAGCTGCTGGCTTGCCAGGCCTGGCAGCAGGTGCTAAGCTGGATAAAGAGGCCTCAGTGCTGGCTTCCCGGCCAGACCAAGCAGCACTCATGTCCCTGGGGCGCTATCAGCCTGTGGATCTGGTTTCTTCTCTGAAGGAACCCGATTCCTGTGTGGTGTTTATCTAAAAGCTTTGCTGCCTGGAGAACAGCTTTTCTCCCCCCTCTTGCTTGTCTGAACAAAGAAGGTAGCTTCTGAATTCACCAGCCCTAAACAGGCTGGAGGGTCAAGGGTGCAGCAGCTGAGGTCGGAGGCTCAGCCAGCCTGTAGGGATGGGGAGGTCAGGGTGCTTGCCTACCTGCCTGCCCTCATCTGTTTGTGCTGGAGAGGGACGGAGTGCAAGGCTGTGTCAGGAGCCTAGGACCCCCGTGAGAAGCGCGGACCACCAGAATAGACCCAGACACTCCACACTGGGAGTCCAGCAGGGAGGGGGAATCATGACTGAACAGAGCAAGGGAGAGGAAGAGGAAGGGGGATGGCCAAGGCCACACAGTAACCCTGGCAGTGCCGGGATGGAACCCACCTTTCACTGTGGCCTCAGCCCGAGCTGGCATCCTGGGCACTACGTGGTGTGGGCATTCTCTCTTGGGTAAACCGGAGTTTTCTACCCAAGAGAGACACAGACCAGAGTCGATAAAGGGTCAGTGGTACCTCTTCCCCTAGTCGCCAATGTCCATGAGCTATGTACTTGGGAGGGAGAGGTGGTAACATACCCTCTCACGGGCCAACATGTGAGATAGGGATGTGAATTGACCAGCTTGGTGTCACCTGTGAGAAGACGATAGGACAAGTCATTCCAGATGCCACGCCTCAGCTACGGCATCACTGACATGGGAAGGGACCAGATTAATGACATCAACATTATGGGCCATGCACTTTGTTCCACAGCAGTCCGCCCCATTCAGGCCTAGGGCAGGCAGCAGGCCTCTTTGACCTGACTGTCCTGTGACTGGTACCCTTTGTGCTCTGTGAGTCAATGCTGTACTGACAGGCTCTGCTCCTGTTGCTCCTAGTGACCCGTGGGTCACGGAGAAGCAGAAGCCAGGGACTGGAGCAAGATCATACAAGTGGTAATAAGCAGATCTGGGGGTGGAAGGCAGCCGAGGCAATGGAGGGGTGACCAAGCCCCTCAGGGAAAGGCCACTGGCCAGGCAGTCTTCTTAGGCCGTGAGTCAGGAAGTGAGGGGGCTTGGTTGTGACCAAAAGAAGGGTGGAGAAAGTATGCCACCCAGGCAGTGACTAGGAGCCTGTCCACAGCTACAGCCCAAGCCGTGAGGACACCAGGGTCTGGGATGCTGGGTCTGGAACTGAGGCTGAAGGAGTGGCGGAGACCTCAGTCCATTCTGTTTCTGCAGATGGCTGAGCTCACCTCAGGGGACCCCAAAGTCAGCTGATGATGCGCCTCCAAGGCTCACAGCTCGCTTCCTCTCCTGCTTGTGAGAACATTCTTTCTCTCCTTCCCTGTCTTCTTTCCGAGTCTCCTCCTGCCGCAGATGGCCAGGATGGTGTTGGGGCCATGCTGAGCTCTCTTGCCAGGCGCAGTAAAGGGAACGGAGGTCTGTGATCGCAAAGAGAGTGGGTGCAGGCTAGGCATGGAGTTCAGTTGGTAGAATGCTTGCCTAGCATGCAGGAAGCCCTGGGTTTGCTTTCAAGCATTGGATAAACCGGGCATGGAGGCATGTGGCTCAGGTGTGTGAGCCCAGCACTGAGGAGTGGAAGCAGGAGGATCAGAAGTTCAAGGTCCTTCTCAGCCCCTTAGAGCGTTCCAAGCCAGCCTGAGTTATCTGAGGCCCTGTCTCAAAACAAAACAAAAGTAGCTGGGCAGTGGTGGCGCACGCCTTTAATCCCAGCACTCGGGAGGCAGAGCCAGGCGGATCTCTGTGAGTTCGAGGCCAGCCTGGGCTACCAAGTGAGTTCCAGGAGAGGCGCAAAGCTACACAGAGAAACCCTGTCTCGAAAAACCAAAAAAAAAAAAAAGCAAAAAAACAAAAAACCAAAACAAAAGTAGCTGGTGTAGGACAGGGGCTATGTACAGTCTGTTGGGCAAGTTGAGGCCACTGCTGGCTCTGGGGAGTGAGGAGGAGAGGCCTCTGCAAGGGGGTCCCCCATCACCTATATCTCAGCTGTGAAATGGGAGCTAGGAAATAAGGCAGATAGTCTTGGTAAGAGTTAACATTACTGAGCGCCTGCTGCATGCAGGAAGAGAATTATTTACTGCCTGTAAATGAGCCAATGAACATCCCTGCTGGCCACATCTAATTGTGCACCCACTTTACAGAGGGAGAAATCCAGGCACAGGGCAGCTGTGCAGGAGGTCATGACAGGTCTGCAAGCCACAGTTGCTGGAGGCTGCAGGGAGATTGCTTGCGTTGATGTATGGATAAAAAGAGCCCAAGGAGAATGGGGCTAGGAGCAGACTCAGGAAGTTGCTTGACTGAGGAACAGGGTCTGGGGTGAGGCAAGGTTGTTCTCTGATGCCAGGCTGGGATCCCCAGGGGCAGCCTGGTCAGGCCGGACTGCCTCCCAAGCAGGTGATGGAGATGAGCAGGATCACAGAACTTGAAGCGGAACCCCTCCATGAAGGCCACTCTTCCGCCCACTCCCAAGCCTTTGTTCACAGGACACACCATATGGAAGCAGGAAGCTGGGAGCATGGAGATGGAATTGCCTCTCCTGCTGCTGGCCGAGGGTGTGGAGCAGCTCGGCTGAGGGTGCCTCACCCGACGGCAAGGAAGGGAAGCGGAGCTTTTTATAACTGAGGATAATTAATTGGCTGTTGTTTGTGACTCATTACTTTAATACTGCCAATTAAGGACTCAGTGAGACAGAGACTGTTCTCAAGCTGGCCCTGGCCCTCCTCCCTCTGGCACCCCTCCCCCAAGTCCCTGGGTCCCCTGAAGGCAGTAGTGTCAAAACCAGCTTCCATACTGAGAGGGATTTAGGTCAGAGGCCTGGAGGAACTTCCTAGCCAGACACCAAGAAGCAGAGTATGGCAATCAGCTGTCTTGCACGTCTGTGCTACCCTTGCCTTTTAAAAGCTGTTAAGACCTTACTGGATTCCTCCCAGCTTGTGGATGGAGCTCCAAGAAGACTGATTTATTCAAGCTGAGGGGCCATTGGCACAGTGTGCACCCCTGCTCACACCCCCAGCCTGTATCTTCTCCCCTCTTCCACCTCCAGTGAGTTAGGCGGAGCTGCCCTTATGTATGCAATCAACAAACCTATTCTGGCACATGCTCACAAATCCCAGTTGAAGCTGACCTGGTTCTCTCCTCCCTTGAAAGGGAGCCCAGGCTGGTGAGGGCCAGGGGACAGTTATGAATAGACACCCAGATCACTCAGGGAAATCAAAGCCAGGTCCAGGGGATGCTGGGAGTGGGTGGTAAGTGTATGGGGCAGGGTGTCTGTTGCTACTGACTCGTGTTTGGGAGCTGCAACTCATTGCTCTTCATCTGGGGGAGGGGAACACCTACCTGGAGGCCTGAGCCTGCAGCGGTACTGAGCAGGCCAGGCTTCAGCCATGGGTCAAGCTGCGCAAAGGCCCCAGAGGTTACACTGTACAGAATACTCTGAAAGTCCTTGAGAGGAAGGCCAGGGAGCCAGAAGAGAGTCTGGGGAGGTGACATGCGCGTGTGTGTGCACATGTGTGCACGTGCAGGGATGTGGGCAAGAGGAAAGATTCCACAGACACCTACAAGGTCCATTCACAGGCTGACCCAGGCAGAGCCTTGGAAACAGTCCCTGTCGCCGGGCGGTGGTGGCGCATGCCTTTAATCCCAGCACTCGGGAGGCAGAGCCAGGCGGATCTCTGTGAGTTCGAGGCCAGCCTGGGCTACCAAGTGAGTTCCAGGAAAGGCGCAAAGCTACACAGAGAAACCCTATCTCGAAAAACCAAAAAAAAAAAAAAAAAAAAAAAAAAAAAAAGGAAAGAGTCCCTGTCATCCCATAGTTCTTAGTCTGGGAAGTTGGAGGCCACCCTAAGAGATTCGGGCTGTGCTGTGGGGGCATGGGTGAGTCTTTGGGAACGAAACAGCAGGGGCAGGCAGGCCAGTCAGTGTCCCCAGCCCCAGTGGCCTCCCTCTCGGGGTGGAACTAGATGAAGGTTCCTTTTGCCATGAAGGTCTGTCACCTCTGCCCCTCCCTAGCCCTTCCACACCAGCCACACTAGCCATGCCATCCAGGCTTCTCCATGCTCTTAGTAAACCCCCTCCACACAGAGGCTTCGCCTCCCTGCCCCAGTGCCCCCTACTCTCCCTTCTCTTAACTCAGATGTCTTTCCACCAAACCAAGCCATTGCTCCTTCCCTGTCGTGTGGGCTTTCACAACACTTTGGGCCAGTGCTAGACGTAAGGACTGGGATTCGCTGACCCTTCCAGTGGACTCAAGGCCTGGCTCAGGCTTGACAATGTGTGCTAAGAGAAATGCAGAAAGGACGGTGGCTGGGATAGTGAACAGTGACTAAGGAAGCTGCCGAGGGGCTATGCCTGTCATCTTGCCGACTACTATGGGGGAGTTCTTGAGTGTTGGGGTCCTGGAG